TGTGTGTATACGAATGTGACTCTTTAAGTTTCCATTATTAGAAAATGATTTCCCACAAATATCACATTTTGAAGGCCTTTCACCTGTGTGTGTACGAAGGTGATGTTTCATGCCCCCCCTCTCCAAAAACACTTTACCACATATATCACATTTGAATGATTTCACACCCATGTGTATGCGAATGTGACGTTTCAGATTGCAATTATATGAGAATGATTTTGAACATATGTCACATGTAAATGTTTTATCTGTAAGGCGCTTGAGTTCTGAGCCTTTCAATGATTTTTCTACAGAGTTCACACTAATATGACTCTTCAGATCTCCACTGCAGGTAGACCCCTTTCTACATATTGCAGATACATCATATTCCGAAGCTTCTGCCGCTTCTGTTGTTTGTTGAAGTGAGTATTCTGTATTGTTTTCCTCGCACTGGTGAGAGGCGAAGGTGTGCTGACTGTCACAGAACAAATATTGTTATTTAACACAATACCGTTACAGTTTTGCATCTTCCATTGCACAGTTCAATTTGCTTCTAATAAATTATACTCAACACGATGATTTACCTCAATCAAAAATTCTCAGCTATTATAAATATATGTAAGAAATGGTGGTGATGGTTTCTTGTGTAATTATTTTTGTGGAATTACTGTAGTTTACTGTTAATTACTGTCATAAAGATGTAATTTTTATTTTTATTAGAAACAAGTATTGTATTCGTGCCATAACATGTTCTACATCCTTGGCTTGGGCATTTGAAGGATCTATGGAATGTAAATAAATTTTATTCTGTGACCGACAAGTAATCCTTTAGTTATAAAATATAACACAAATAACTAGATAATTCATGCTCAAACACATCTTAATTTAGATCTCAGTTTGACTAACAGACTAGTGTTTGTTTTCGAAGGCATTCCAAATTTGTCTAAAAACAGTACATGTATATACAGCCGCTACCATTAATTCATATTGTATGGATATTTGCTTCAAGTCAGAGATCTGTCTACATACGGATATCGACTAATACACCCGAGATGGCACGCTGCTTGAATTTTGGATTTCGACATAAAGAGCGAATTCAAACACCAATGTCAAATAAATTCCTATGCTCATGACAAAATGAATCTTCCATTGCAAAGGGTGACTGTAATGAACTGTACGAGAATCTACTCCTCCATTACGCTGCACCATTAGCATACTCACCTCACAACACACAAACCACGGTCTTCTGGCATCAGGTCAGCTTCATCTGCTGCAATATCTAACACATCTTCCTGCAATATGTAAGACAGGCTGAGCAACACATAACACTCACGTATTCATATACTAGTTAAAGAAGAGCTTGTTTATTGGGACACATAAAATGCAACTACAAACACAATTTCAAGTGCAAGAGTTTAACCGCCATGTCTGAATATCCTAACTGAAGTGTTTAATTCATGTCAGGATGCATACATGTGAATATATAAACAAAGTATAATTCTGAATATATCAGAGTATAATAATATTACATAAATTTTTAGAGTTTGGAGATTTGAAGCAAAAAAGTAATTTCATATGACATCTTATCAAAATTAATTAAACTATAAAAGTAACTCAAAAAAGTGGAATATAAAACATACCATTTCTTCACTCTTCATTACTGGAGAAGTTTTTGGAGCAGCCAGCTCCACATGTTCCAGAGCAGGAAGCTGGTCAGACTCAGTATCAGAATTAGGTTCCAATTTAAATACATGCAAGAACTTCTGTTCAACAGAATGAAATCAGGCTCTAATTCAAAATCAATTAAAACAATGCACAAGAATTGGTTAAGAGAAAACAATTCATATGGGTAGATTATTGAACCAAATATCTAATCATAAAAGAATTCAATCAGAAACATAGTGGATCATACGTCTTGACTCAGTATCCATGATGGAGTGGCCAATTCTTTTTCTTAAGAAATGAAAGTAGAACAACAAAAGAACAATATGACCACACATACTGTTTAGTGTTTTAATTTTATTTGCGTTTATTAACCTATTATGAACACCTACAACTGGAACAACAGCTTATCTCTTACATGAATCACCATCAAACATCAAAATGGGACCAATGGCAATACATCTAATGAGAGGCTTAATCAGACTGAAGGACATGCGAAATGAAAACAAAACAGAACTAACCTTATCTTCACTTACAAATACTGATGGTGACATTGCATCATAATAGTCATTTTTCATATCAGTAAGCGGTTCTTCTTTCAGCGTAAAAACTTGAGATGTTCCTTGATCCAAATCAGATTCCTCCTTTATCATATCCATGGCAGGCTGTAAATCAATATTACTTGCTACAGCTTCCTCAATACTGCATGTTAGAGTGTTGGCAATATTCTTATATTATTTTTGCTAGGCTCGGTAATTTAACATCGGCAAACTCCAGCTGCTCTTATATGCATCATTATCAGCAGCAGCACACCACAACCACCAGTTCCTTTTCTTCCCATTTTAGTATATATTATTACAGTTATCTATGAAGACTTGGTTATTTAAGGTTATGTCAGCCTTTTTAACTTGACATATTTTTTAAGTAATGAAGGTTAAATTAAATTCTCAAACCACTTAAAATTTATTAACATTATTTGCTAGGACTCCACTTACTCTAAATTATTTTACACAGCTACTTCTCCACAGAAAATGTATATATTGCAGTGAACTGTATAAAAACAGTTACTAGCAGCACTCATCGCCCTGATGATGGAGGCAGCAAGAAACTCTGAAATGTTGGTAAACTACTACATGGCGCAACAACCCTGAAAACAGCCATATCGTAGAAATATCTAGACTGATGAGTCCATGCTTTCTGAAACTCTTTTGATTGGACATGTCAACTGATGGCTCATAAGACTACTAGGAGTAGGTAAGAGTATAATAATAAAACAGATCTTTGAGGAACAGATTTATCAAATGGACTGGGCTAAACTGGCTCTGTTTACAGACCGATGGTGGGCTCCTGTAAACACAGTAATAAACCTTCGAGTTCCATACACTGCACGAATGTCTTGACCACATACCAGGAAGGACCCATTCCATGGTAGGTTTATTACTGGGAATAAATGGAAATAATATTTAATAATGTACATCATATTCTATATATCCTTCACCTTCTTATTTTCTCACGTGTGATTTCACTCATTTGAACACGACACAAAAGCCACCAGCTACCCTACTTGTTAATATTCCTCAACCCAATTTTTGTTTTACCATATCGACTTTCCTCTTCTTTAAATCAATACTGGGTCATCCTACTTTAGCTGTGGTGTTCTTATAACTGTACGACTTCTTAAAGCTGGCATGATATAAATGACTAACCAAATTAAGTCACGAACTACACAGCTAGTAACTGATCAATTTGCTGTCCGATTTTAAAATCTAACTTTTCGATGCTACCGACACCATAACCTCACATAGTATACGACCCAGAGTCAGCTTTAAAAAGTTGAAAACATCATAGCCTATAACGGATTTATAAATGCATTTCTGGTAGCGAAATATAAGCTTAACACCTGCCATAAATTATAAATAAAAGATATGCCGTAGTATTATGAAATAGCTGACAAACATTACGCCAACCACATTCCCTCTCTGCTTGCAGGCTTGCACAAGTCGTGGGGGAAAATTAAGTGCACAAACACTGTGCAATGATTTAACGTAACCTATCATTTCCATTCGCATAGTTGGCTGCTAACACAAATGTGAACTAGACTTGGTCATCTGTGAGCTAAGTCTTTGGATTCCGTGGAATCACTTGATTCACTTCCACTCCCGTGAAATGTACGCTGCTGCCATCTACCGAACAAAATATTAAATCGTGCCGATTGTAATTCGGGACGACGCTAATGGATGCGTGGAATCTGTCGTCACTACAATATGACGCTTAGAAAGAGGCACCTTATTATCTTTTCCTTCACAAATCTTGTCCATGCTCCTATACTTTCATTGATATAAAGTTCTGAAACTAGGAGCGATTACAGCAGAAAAGTGTGCATACAAATCACCAGAAATGTTACAGTCTATTCAATAACTCCTCCTGCACTGAGCTGTACAGTAGAAGATGTTACGCAAATTAAAAGTTTGACCCTGTAGAAGTCTTTCGCCATTCTCTAACATAAAAAAAATATTTAAAGAAACTGTTTATAAAGTTTCTCTCAGAATGCTAGCAACACTATAAATACTGTAATAAAACTTAAATTTTGTCAGATGGTAAAGTTGCGTCATATTGTGATATAATAAGTATATATTAAATTTTGTCCGTCTAATCACAATAATTCTTATTAAATATTAAAATATTACAATAATTAACATTTAAAATATTTAAAATATTAAATGATGTTCTTTATCGAAATATTCGATTTTTTGTCATCAAAAGGCTACTTTATGGGTGCAGCACTAGTATGCACACTCATTCTTTCTGCACTGTCTCTGCCTACAGTTTAAAATGGATTAAAAGGGGCAAGGTGATTTGTTTCTGGGACTCGGGTCCATGCCTGAGAAAGAAAGGTGCATGAGCTAAGTCGAGGGTACACGGAAGACAAAGTTGGTTAGTGGCTTTAGAGTTCTGTAGGATAATTCCAAAGATCTTAAAAGGGAGTAGATTTTATCATCTTCATTTAAAGGAAGAACACATCAGGTTCATCATTTTAGTTGAATTTACTAACGTAAACATGAGATATTTACAACATTACACATTGGCCACACAATAAAGTATTTACTTAACACACACTTGAGACACTTAACAGTCGTTTTAGAAATGATTGAAGATAAGCTTTGTGTTCAAATGGACCGGCCTCTTTACAAAGTTCTGTTTCAAACTCTTTTCCTTCATGAATGATTCCTACCCTCGGCTGCTCTCGTAAGAGTAACATTTTATACAACAACTGATCTCTTGGTATTTGCGTCTTCCAAATTCCAGTCATCTGAAGGGAACCAAAGCTCCAAATTGGTCAGTGGCCTTGAACGAAGTATAGAAATTAATATTATTTTACACGTTTAGTTCTATAAAGAGGGTAACTGCGTCCACACGACAAATACAATTAATAGAAGGCTGTGGATGTTACATTACGATTTGTCTGGTTATAGGTTTCAAACTCACAAAATTACCTTCGTATTTACGAAGTCAGAAATGAATTTTGGTCGAATATAAACAAATATTTGTCACAGTTTTTGGAACGAAAGACAACGGACACGTACATCAGAATAACACTGGATTTTATATGACATATTAATAGACTCTCGTATGTTGTACTGTATCCTGTTTGTTCATGTATATACACATAATTAGTCTCCTCTGAAATATCTCCATCTAATTACATATATTTAAAAAAGTAAGCTACGTATCAACTTGAATATATAACGTGTGACTTTTTTTATGAAGCGTTTGTTTTTCCCAGAAATACTTTGTGGATGCAGCGTGCATCTTGGAAGTTTACAGGAGAGGGCTTCGATAATCATCTGAATGTAAAAGTCCATCGTGTGTAACAAGTACAGTCATTGACAAGAGAATGATGCTCTCAACTACGCTGCTACAGTTACTGAAGTGATCAGATTTTAAATTTAACTTGCTCAATTACATTCGATACTTCTAATTATTTCCAAAAATAAGTTCCATCAAATATACTGAAATATATTATTCGTATAGTTAAATAATTAACCGCTTAATTACAAATACAGAATTGTACACACTGCGTAGTCGTAAGTAATATATTATTTTCAACGTATGACATCAATACTAGTTCAGTGGAAAAATTGATCTAATGACCAAATCACGTGGTTTATACCCTGATTCAACGGAGTTGCTTTCTTCCTGGATCCTAATTTGACAGTGGGTCAACGGATGGCAAATCTCCAGCCAATAAGATTAACCTCTGCAAAATCACGGCTAAATAGATAATATTTTAAATATTCCTGCTATTTCAATTTGTCGCACAGCGGATCCAGAAACAGTCCATTTGCCACCACGATCCATCGAGCAAAATTGTAGCTTCTGAAAATTACAGAAAGTGGACAAAGTTTCACATTGCACCTAAACTTCAAGGGAATACAACACCAATGAATCATTATTAGCCGATAAACAATTAAATTAGATTTTGTACCAATTTTGTCACTCTGTGAACAGCCGATGAACGAGTTACGTGCTGCTTGGTTTGGATTTCTCAAAAAGCCACTAAATCTTGTAAAAAAAAATGTAAAATGGAACAGGGCGCAATGGGAATACACGTGATATCCGAACGTAAACCAAACCCGCTTTAATGTGACTGCACCTTTCACGTGGTAGTGTTTGGAACCTGCCCTCGACACGTACGGACATACACGAGGCAGTCACAGTCAGTCAGAAGTTTTTGGGCAGTGGTGGGACGGCCACAACGTACGATTAATCACGTGACTACAAATATCACGGAGGATCGGGGACTGCGTCGACATAGCCTTTGTCAGAGTAACTGAGGAAAATTGTGGAATGCTATATAGCATTCACATAACAAGTTTTCAGAATAACACTGGATTTTATATGACATATTAATAGACTCTCGTATGTTGTACTGTATCCTGTTTGTTCATGTATATACACATAATTAGTCTCCTCTGAAATATCTCCATCTAATTACATATATTTAAAAAAGTAAGCTACGTTTTAACTTGAATATATAACGTGTGACTTTTTTTTATGAAGCGTTTGTTTTTCCCAGAAATACTTTGTGGATGCAGCGTGCATCTTGGAAGTTTACAGGAGAGGGCTTCGATAATCGTCTGAATGTAAAAGTCCATCGTGTGTAACAAGTACAGTCATTGACAAGAGAATGATGCTCTCAACTACGCTGCTACAGTTACTGAAGTGATCAGATTTTAAATTTAATTTGCTCACTTATACATCCGATAATTCTAATTATTTCCAAAAATAAGTTCCATCAAATATACTGAAATATATTATTCGTGTAGTTAAATAATTAATCGCTTGATTACAAATACAGAATTGTACACACTGCGTAGTCGTAAGTAATATATTATTTTCAACGTATGACATCAATACTAGTTCAGTGGAAAAATTGATCTAATGACCAAATCACGTGGTTTATACCCTGATTCAACGGAGTTGCTTTCTTCCTGGATCCTAATTTGACAGTGGGTCAACGGATGGCAAATCTCCAGCCAATAAGAAACTCACGGCTAAATAGATAATACTTTAAATATTCCTGCTACTTCATTTTGTCGCACAGCGGATCCAGAAACAGTCCATTTGCCACCACGATCCATCGAGCAAAATTGTAGCTTCTGAAAATTACAGAAAGTGGACAAAGTTTCACATTGCACCTAAACTTCAAGGGAATACAACACCAATGAATCATTATTAGCCGATAAACAATTAAATTAGATTTTGTACCAATTTTGTCACTCTGTGAACAGCCGATGAACGAGTTACGTGCTGCTTGGTTTGGATTTCTCAAAAAGCCACTAAATCTTGTAAAAAAAAATGTAAAATGGAACAGGGCGCAATGGGAATACACGTGATATCCGAACGTAAACCAAACCCGCTTTAATGTGACTGCACCTTTCACGTGGTAGTGTTTAGAACCTGCCCTCGACACGTGCGGACATACACGAGGCAGTCACAGGACAGTCAGAAGTTTTTGGGCAGTGGTGGGACGGCCACAACGTACGATTAATCACGTGACTACAAATATCACGGAGGATCGGGGACTGCGTCGACATAGCCTTTGTCAGAGTAACTGAGGAAAATTGTGGAATGCTATATAGCATTCACATAACAAGTTTTCTTCTAATCTAAAACTTCTTGACGATGGTGAAGAGTCAATTGAATAAAAATTTTCTTGGATATTATCCATCGTCTAGTAAATATAAAACGTAAAACGAGAAACACTTCATTAAAATCAAAGCTCACTTTAAAAAAAAATCTTCGTTAAAATCAGACGACGTGTCTTTCGTTACAGAGCATCACCGAAGTTCTTCAGATACAAAACAGAAATGGGGAAATCTTTGGCACACGCTTTATAATGATCACAGGATTAAAAACATTATTTCGTATACGGACATTTATAGAAATGTACAGAAATCACCGCCACATTAGAAATAAGATTTTTTTTGGCATGTATGAGCACAATCAGCCAACATAACTGGAGAAAAAAATCAGTGGAAGGTATTGGCAGCACTGGATGAAATCAAAGTTTTCTCATCCGCTTGTTGAACCGATTAATTAACTTTGATGTTGTAATTAGTCTTTTCTGTTGTACCTGTGACTTGTATTTTGTATTTATACCTCGATCTGCTTCAAATTTTATCTTTAATCCGCCGTCACCTTCTGTCAACCACGACGTAATATTTTGTTTATGTCCTGGGTCTGGTACGAGATCTCGACTGACATTTTCGCCTCTGTGAGAACCTGAAGTCTAATCAGCTTTTGAAAGATCATCATTATCATCAGTTCTTTTTGATCTATTAACTTCCTTCAAACCTGGAAGCAGATTTCTCGTGTTTTGTTATCAACAGATTACCACAAAATTTCTTCTTTAATGTGCGTCTGTCTTCAGCGGAATGACAACGCGCAACATCCCTCAAGGTCAACGATCCTTTAAGATAAACGTCCTCTAACTCATTTGGAATTCACAAAATCTCTCGTCCAGGTAAATTATTTTCACTTGACAGATGGGAAATTGCAATACCAGAATTTTCTGACGACATCTGAAACAGACGCAGTGGACATGGTCCCTCATTTTTAGTCAAATATTCTTTCTGTTTTATTTCATGTTGAATTTTTTTTTGGCTAAGGTCTGGATTGAGAAACTGCAGATTTCAAATCCCGCTCTTATCTCCAGACCGAACGTACGTTACGAGTAAACTTGTATCAAAAAACTTGGGAAAAGTTTTAATGAGTGCTCTGTGGGAAAATTCTCACGACAAATGAACAATTATCACTCGTAATATGCAATTCGTTATCTTACATATCGTGAAAAATTATTCA